TGATGTACAGCTATGCCTTGCTTACTGATGGGGCTACATTCTGAGAAATGTGTCATTAGGTGATTTTATTGTCATGTGAACATGATAGGGTATACTTACACAAACCTAGATGGTAGAGCCTACTACACACCTAGGGTATAGGGCATAGCCTGTTGCTTTTAGGCTGCAAACCTGTACGATATGTTACTGTACTGAATACAGTAGGCAGTTGTAACATGGTCATTATTTTTGTACCTAAACATAGAAAAGGTACAGTAAAAATACAGTATAAAAGACAAAAAATAGTGCTCCTGTATAGGTCACTTACATTAATGGAGCTTGCTGAACTGGAAGTTGCTCTGGATGAGTCAGTGAATGAGTGGTGAGTGAATGTGAAGGCCTAGAACATCATTGCACACTTTTATACTGTGAGTGGTCCAGTGGGTTTGTTTACAATGACATCACCATAAACATGGGAGTCATGTGTTGTGCTATGACATTATGATGGCTACGGCATCACTAGGTGATAGGAATTTTTTAGCTCCATTATAATCTTACAGCACCGCTGTCACATGTGCAGTCCGTCACTGACTGAAATGTTGTTACGGTGCGCATGACTGTACTCCATAATTCTACTTGGCCCTCTTCTCATTTTATACTCCACCTAGTCATCTCAATTTTTCCTACTGCTCCAGTTACTACCTATGTGTCCTAGATGCCAAATGCGTCCACTAGCCTGGATATCCCTCCTGGGTGCCAGAACTGTCTGTATAGTTGTCTATAAGCATTTCAAACTTTACAAAGCATTTCAGACTTTACAAGGATTTCAAACTCAGCAAGTGTAAAACCCAACTCTTTTTCCCTGTAACTATGTTTGTACCATAAGAGTCATGTGGTTCTTTCCCATCCCCCAAATTACAGTCACCTGTTTCTGCTGATTCTGCCATTAAAGCTTTATAGAATCTGTCCTCTCATTTCATTCCTTTAATGCCACTGAATTATTCAGGCCCATATTGTGGATGTTCTGTGATGGCTTCTCTCACTGTTATTCTGGTATTCTTATTCTCTGTTTTCTCTGCTGTGATGCTCTGAGGTAAAGAGTAATACTTCCCATGTTATTTTATAAGGGTTTGTTTACTTATCTCCTCTGTTAATCTGTGAACCTTTGGGGTACAATAATTTTGGTCTTTTTCCTTGTTTTAATCCTCACTGACTGGTCCAGTAACAGCACATAGGAGACTATTGATAAATGTTAGTAATGACCATGGAACATGTTAACTGAAGAGTGGTTGTGAATGAATGAATGAATGAATAAATAAATAAATAAAATATACATGGCAAATTCCAAGTGTTGTATAAGGTGTCTGTAGTTTGTTCAATGTAAATTATACTTTTTTTCCTGAGCAAATGAAGTAATTAAAATCTAAATGGGATAATGTATGTGAAGTGCTCTGCACAATGGCTGTCCCATAGTTAAGTTTTAAATAAATTTTTGGTATTGGTGGCTAAGTAAAAGCTTTTGTAAGTAATATTTCAAAATAAAAGTTGATGCACATTTCATTTACTTGACAATTTTAGCAAAACTTAAGTTCTTATTTTCCATTGCTACAATGAGTCATTAACAAACATTTTAATCAGATTTAAAGATGGGAAGGGAAGCAGTATCATTGTGAAAGAGTTTGTATTTCTTTGGTTATTCTTTTTCATTGATGTTTACCTCAAAATATCTATTTTTTTCCCCATGATCACACAATGCCACTTCTTTCCAGATGTACTGCTTTTTTAGAGTACAGTAGTGCAATCATAGCTCACAATAACCTTGAACTCCTGGGTTCAAGCAATCCTCCTGCCTTAGTCTCCTGAGAAGCTAGGACTACAGGCATACACCATCACAGCTGGCTAATTTTGAAAAAAATTTTTGTAGAGATGGAGTGTCGCTATGTTGCCGAGGCTGGTTTCAAACTCCTGGCCTTAAGCAGTCTTCCTCCCTTGGCCTCCTAAAGTGCTGGGATTACAGGCATGAGCTACCGTACCTGGCCAGGAACTATTCTTATTAGCTAGTATAGTACACCAAATGCCAGGCTTTATGTATTATAATCTGCAGTAGTAGTTATGATGTGAATTTGGACTAAATATGGATTATACTGTGTTTCTCACAATTACATGTGGGAAGTCCTGATGTATACCACTTAGTTCAAGTTTATGAGGTTGGGGGCTCATCTTTTCTTTAACACCAGTGTTGTAAAGGGGTTACACTATATTAAATTATATTAAATTAACCCGTTCTTGATGTCTTTATTATAGCTTGGAAGTATATACAACAGATACATTTCTTATAAAAAGTATTTTGTTTCTTACATGACATGAGTTCTAAAAAATATTGTTTTCAGTGTTAAGGTTAGCCATTTTGGAGGAAGGGGGTGCTGTTTTTGTTTAAAGTATAGTTATTTTAAAGTCAGAGGGGAAACTGGAGAAAGAGGTCAGATTCAGAAGGAACAATTACAGAATCATTTTTTCCATTTTCCAATTCAAAGGTAATTCTTGGTAAGAAATGTGTTTTATAAGTGCTTTTGAGTTTATACATTTTATATCTGCTGAAAGAGAGACTCATAAAATATATTTGTAATAACAGAGCAAAAGTCTACTGAAACCAAGAATTTCTTTTAGGATAAGAAATGGGGAAATACTCATCATAGTTGGATTGGCTCATCCACTATCCATAGTGGATAAATTTTCTTGCATGTATTTGATAATTGTCATATCTACACACACACTTTCATATATTCATTCACCAAATGTTTATTGAGGGCCTGTCATCTCCTGGGTGCTCTGCTTGGCATGGGGGATATAAAGTTGAAAAAGCCCTGCCGCTGTCCTTATCTTAGTTGATTTATAGCCCAGTGACTATTTGGGAGATTGTGGTTTCTAGTTTGTTCCAGGCTCTCTGTATGACTTGATGATTCTTTGATTGTCTCCAGTCTACTTCTCATTTACTACAGATGCTCTTCCAGATATTTTCTACTCTCATCAAGTCTTCTATCCCATTCTAGTTTCTTCATTTCCAGCACATGGTCTTGCTTTCTATTTTGTATGAAAGATGGGCTTTTCATTGGTAATTTCTTTAATGTTCTCTCCCCCTATCAAGTGTATCTCTATATAGTTATCATTACATCTTTCCCTCCTGCCTCAGAGGAAGAGATGGCAGTCAGATACCTCTATGTGGGCTTTTGATCCTTTGTTTCTGGACTTTTCTAGGACTTTGACTTATTAATTCCTTTTTTGTTATCTTCAGTTTCTTTCCTGATTACTTCCTCTTGGTCTATAGACCTACTCATACACACTGAGAAATCAAAATGTGTATTTGTTGGGTGAGTGAATGAATCAGCAGACCTTCTTTAGCTCCTGCTTCCTCTCAAATTTCTGCCCTCCCTGTTACTTTTCTTGTATAGCCATATATGAGAGAGTAGTCTATACCAGCTGTGTCAGTTTACCCAATTCTCATTCACTTTTCAACTTCTGTGATTTTGACTTCTTCAAATCACACTATTGAATCTCTTCTAGTTACCAATGGTCTGCCAAAATAAAAATATATTTGTTCCCTTTCTTTCTTGGTTCTATTTGATTTTACTTGATTTCCTGTTGTATTTGATACTGTTCACCACAGGTGCTGACCTTAGAGAATCTTTTTTTGCCTGGCTTTCATGGTATCATTCTTTCTTGATTCCACTCTCTTTTTCACCCTTTCAGTTTCCTCTCTAACTTTTCAGACTATTCCATTACCCCATCTTCATATTTTTCTCCCTCATACTTATACATCCTCCCTTTGTCTTCATATGCTGCTTCTGTATTCTCTACCTCTTTTTAAAAATCTGACCCTTATTTTTAATAGTTGACTCAACATCTCCATTTGATGTTCTACAGATACGTCAGATTTAAATTATCTAAATGGAACCAGCATACTTTTCTTCCTCTCCTAAATCTTCTGTTCCTGTATTCCTTATATGTTACCACTACCTGTTTCAGTTGTTGATTGATGTGTAGACTGCACTAAACTTGATGTTGTAAAGCAACACCATTTTATTATGCTCACATTCTAGGGGACAGGATTCTATAGGACAGGAATTTGGACAGAGCACAACAGGATGGCTTGTCTTGTCTTTGTTTTACAATATTTGTGGCTTTAGCTGGGAAGACTCAAATGGCTAGGGGCTAAAATTGTCTGGAGGCTCTTTGCTTGCATGCTTGGTACCTGAACTGGGATGACTTGAAGGCTCAGTTCAGCTGGTATTGTTGATTGGAGTGCTTTTACATGGCTATTCCATGTTTCATGGGCTTCCTCATGGTATGGCAGCCTCAGTTTAGTTGGACTTCTTACTTGGTGGCTGAGAGCTCCAAGAGTTACTGTCCCAGTAAAAAAGGAGGAAGCTGTATGGCCTTTTGTGACCTAGCCTTGGTAGTTAGGATGGATTCTTGATTGAAATAGTCATGTGCCTTCCCAAAATCAAGGGGAGGGGACATAGACCTTACTTCTGATTAGAGAGGTGTCAAAAAACTTGAAAGCTTGACATCATCCTTGTCTTTCATCTCTCCCATCCTACTGTACCTTCTGTATGTCAGTCACTAAGTGCTGGTCTTTTTTGTTTTAGAAATATCTCTTTTTCCTCACTATCATAAATCTAGGTAAGAATTTGCCGTCTTTCACTTAAGAGTTTTCCATAAACTCTTAATTGATCTATTTAAGCTTACCTGCCTTAAATTAAATATTGATTCCTCATATTGTTTATTGGATAGTTTTTATTGCGTACAGCCTCTGTCTAAATTGCTTAGCTTTGTTCTTAGAAGGTGGGTCTGTCTAATTTTCCACTCTCTGTACTTTGCTGGTACTGCTCCTTTGCACTGAGTGTCTTCCTTGCCTTCATCACCCAGCTTCTGTCATCCTTTAGGTCTCAGGTTGGATGTCACTTCCTTTGTAAAGCCTTCTTGGTGACTTCAAATACTGTTACTTTCTCCTCTATTGGTTCATATGTTTATCTCATGCTATTAGAGTGACCATGACTTCCACAAGGTCAGGGACTGCATCTTAAATCATCTGCCACGATTGCCTGGTCCATTGTTACATAGTAAATGCTAAGTGACTGAAAATAGATTACACATTGGTAAAAGTCTCCAAAGGTTTGAATGAGATACTAGGTTTTCTAAAATGTACATACTATTACCAGGGAGCCCTTCTTGCCTTGAGAGAATTATGTTTAGAGAAGCTTTTAAATAAGGGAGTTTACATGCTCTGCTTCAACATTTTTATTTCAGTTAAAACATACAGCAACAGCCAAAAACTTATATTTGAAATGTTATACTTAATGTGCCAAAAAATTTAGCAAGGTGGGCAAGTATTAGATTTAAAAGAAGCTTTGATAAGATTAGAGGCTCTGAGAATAAAATTGAAATCAGAACAGCATTGTTTTTGGTTGTGGCATTTGAGAGCTTTAATTTTGGCCGTGAAATATTTCACATGACAGATTTCGTTCCAGCCTGTTTCTTTCTGGTCAGAAACATGTGGTAGTTCACTTTTGGCAGTTGTATGTACTATGTGAAAGGGCTGGGGTCAGCACCCTGTGCAGAAATGGGTCAATGAGCTTTCAGATGAAAGGGAAAACATTTTTTAAAGAGCCTTTATTTATTGCTGGTGTAATAAGACAAAATAATTATGAGCTTGAACCTCTCACCATGTTCTTACTTCCTTCTTCATCTCTCAAATGCTTTGCCAAATTAACCACATCAACCAATTTTACAGAGAATGGATTGCTTAAGAAGCTTATTCAGAAAGTCTCTCTTTTGTCTTCCAAAAGGACATAAGTTTCCATTGTACTTCTCTAAAAATCTTAAATGGCTACTTAAAGGGAGCAGGCAGCATGTTCTACTTCAGTGAATGATAAAGTACAACCACCTATTTTTCAGCTGAGCTGGGAGGAAGAACACTATCCTACTGTTGCTTTCAAAGATGATTTTATTACTGTCAGGACAGATAACAAGCTAGGATTTTCTAAGAGCAATAAATGACAAGTTGGATTATTTCCTGTGGCTCTTAAACAATGTAACATTCTTGAATAAAGAGAGGGAAGTACTCAGGTAGTCTTTGAAGGAAGTCTAGATCCCCTGCATAGAGATAATGTTGCTCTCTGTTTCGATTTTTCCTGACTAGAACTGGAAGCATAAGCCTTTTCCAAACCCTGGAACAGCCTTTGCTCTCAAATTTGTGCTGGAATGTTATCTGGAGTGTGATGGGGCTCTTTGCCAAATCACTGTGGAAACTGATCAAGGTGCCAGTCCTGTCCATTGGGTTATTTGCCGTGGCTTAAAAAAAGGATGACCAACCTGTCTAATCCTATTCCTTACATATGCATTTTCTTTAAAAATGATAAAAAATATTGCTTACTTAAGAGAGAATAGGATATCTTTAGCATGTTTCCATTAGGCTATTTAAAATATTTTATGCAGCTGAAGGGTATCCCAGCCAAGAAACATTAATGAAAACTATCATTCTGGATGGGCATAATCCCATTGGTTTGTCATTTTGTCTGTTGGCCTCTGTGCTGATGTATGCAACAGAATAACAAATGCTAAATTTCCATTTACCTGTTTAGTGATGGAGAGGAACTTGTCATAGAAATTAAGGCATGAGTATTATTTTATCATACAATTGCCAAGTGAAATGTGGTTTAAATGGTGGTTTCAGAGACATAAAAGTTAAAACTATCTGTGAGCAATTAAGACGATTAAATATTCAGATTTTGTAATCCAGTAGCACATCTTCTGAAATGACCAGTCTGTAGCTGAAGTTAGGGAAGGGAAAACTTACAGTAATCTTTAGATGTCTGAATCTTGACAGTCCCTTCTATTCCCTTAGTCAGAAACTGCTGAACAGAGGAGGAAGATCTGAGCAGAAACTGTCTGGGAGGTTATGTGGTGATAATAGAAGAGTGTTTTTTAATTAGTTAATTTTAAAAATGAAGGTGAAATTCACATTGATAGAGGTTTGGGTTGTGAGCCACACTGATTACATTGTGAAGGTTTTGTTCCATTTTCAAGGTCTGATCCTGATTGAAAGGCAAAATGGGAATTTGGATGATTGAGGCTTTTCCTCTTCGTTGTTTCAAATAACATGCTTTCCTTCAATGTCCAATTAAGTCTGTTTGTATGAAAGAAAATCGAGGGTGTGATACTCAGTGCTTCTACAAATAAGAATAATTTTATTCATTCATTCGAGAATTTGCTGAGTATTTACCATGTGCTTTACCAGGCATTTTTCTGGATCCTGGAGATACAGTGATCAAAAGGTCAAAGTTTGTATCTTTAAGAAGTTTACAGTCTAGTGGAAGAGACATAATAAACATATGTTTTAAGTAGTAATTGTTATGAAAAATAATAAAGCAGTGTATGGAAATAGAAAGTGGTGGGAGGTGCTATTTTAGATAGGGTTGTTAGGGAAAGGATCTCTGAAGACATGACATTTCAACAGAAGTCCGAATGAATTGAGAAACAGGAAGAGCAAAAGCCCTGAGGTGGAATCAACTTGAATTATTTGAAGAATAGGGAGATGGTCAGTGCGACTAGGGTGGACTAGAGGAGAGGTAGGTAGGGGCATGTCATGCAGAGCCTTATAAACCATGGTAGAAATGTGGAGTTTTTCCTGAATACAATGTAGTGGATTTTTCACCAGAACAGTGACATGGTCTGATTTACTCCTGAAAAGGATCTAGCTGTTGTATAGAGAATACACTATAAAGGAAAAAGAAGGGAAACAGAGAAATTAGCCAGTAGCTAATGAAGGAGTCTAGGTTAGAGATGATAGCTTGGACTGTGGCGATAGAGGTAGTGGTAAGTACTTAGGTTCCAAAAATATTTTGAAGATGGAATGAGGAGGACTTGCTGATGAATTGGAAAGAGATGGTTCTTTTTGTTTTTTGTATAGTAAAATGTACATAACATAAAATTGACCATTTTAATGAATTTAAAGTGTACAGTTCAATACATTCACATTGTTATGTAACCATTAACACTATCTGTCCCCAGACCCTTTTCATCATCCCAAACTGAAGCTCTGTATTCATTAAACGGTACCTCCCCATTTCCCCCTGCTCCCAGCCCCTAGTAACCACCAATTTGCTTTCTGTCTCCAGGAATTTGACTGTTCTAAGTAACTCATACAAGTGGAATCATACAATGTTTGTCCTTTTATGTCTGGCTTATTTCATTAGCAAAATGTTTTCAAGATTCATCCATGTTGTAGCATATATCAGAATTTTATTTCTTTTTAGGTTCTTTGGTTTTAGTTTTAGCAACTGTGTGAATAATAGTGAAATTTCATGAGATGAAAAAGATGGAAAAAGGAGAGATTAGGGATTAAAATCAGTTCTTTTTTTTTTTTACACAAGTCTAAAATGCTCAATAGACACCCAAGTGGATATGTTAAGTCCAGAGCTCAGAGAAGTGGTTGGGCTAGAGATTTAAATTTGAGTGTTCTCAGAGTATGTGTGGTATTTAAAGCTATGGAACTGAGTAAGATCACTTCGGAAGTAAGAGGAGACTTGAGAAAATGGTCTTTTAACTAGTACAATTTAAAGTTGTGATAAAGGAATACATATATTCTAAGATTTGTCTGAATTGCTAAATTTAGATAAATTAGTTTTAAAAAATGGCATTGGTTTGAAATGTTCTAATTGGTACAGCACATTGGCTTTAAGCAGTTGTTTGCTTGCCATTTTGTTAGCCAATTCTCTTACTTTCTTTGGCTTAAAATAGTGTTAAGCTTTGTTCTTTTAGTAGTTCTCTGAGAAATTAAAAAAATTTTGTGTCAAGGTGAATTGGGTACTGACTAGAATGGTTATTTCTAGAAACTATACAGAATAGAAATTTTATCATAGTTGGGGCAATTCAGAAATTAATAGTTCCTTGTGATAATAGGATGGAGGGGGCTTGTTTATGAATGAAGTATTTTAGTGAGCTAACAGCAGCTGTGCATGACTAAGGATGGCACCTATCCAGGGGAAGGATGTTTTGGGGAAAATTTGTATACTTTTTTTTTTTTTTCTTTAACAACAGTGAGGCTTAGGCTTTTTAGTTAGACTATTGGTGTCTTTTCTTTTCCAAAGGATTAAGTTTCAAAAGAGGGATCAGACCACTCTGGTGGGGTGAGATGGGGGTGGAGGAAATATTTGGAACAAGAGGGATGTTTGCAGCAGTACTGGGGTAGAACTTTCCCTAGACACTGTGGTTCATAGGCATTTGACCAAGTACTTAAGAAGCAAATCTTAGTATCACTTGTTTTTTCTCCATTTAATGAGACTTGCTCAGCTTGATTAGCTCCCAATTTTGTCTTTATAATGGTTGTACCATGGAGCTTGTGAATACCAATTCTTTTGAAAGAACTTTCCCCATTATAAGTAATACATGTTTTGAGCATCACATCTTTGCAAAAGTAGTCTGGTAGTAGAAATAGTTTTTGTAATGGAGAAAAAAGGGATTTGGTTTCATGTTGCTGAAGGATGTTATAATTAAAAGAAAAAGGAAAATTTGAGAATCTAGAGAGTATACCAAATGTCATTTTTGGAGGAGGAAATTGAAGTCAGGAAAGAATAGACTTGCTTGGAAACAAGTCCTATAAATGGAACTTGAGTAGCTAACATCTGCCTCTGACAAATTCCCCTGCAAGGCTGCTATTTTTCCTTGTAGTCCTTGAGTTAGGGCTCTGATATTTTCATATTTGCCATGGAAATGATTGTGATAATATAAATGATGTTTTATTTTTATACATGATTAGATATGGAAGATGGAAGCCAGCTGTTGTTTAAGTGCATGTCTTATGAAACACTGCAGGAAATATGACATAGGCAGTAGTAAATCAGTGGTGGCAGAGATGGTATTGCTGAGGCTCATGGAGCAGGGATGGGGCAGACAACTTATTTCGTTTCTCTTGGTTACTGCTGGTTTTTGTTCTGCCAGAGTTAGGTAAGTTAGCCCATTACATCACATAGCCTGTGGTCGTATGATTTAGTTTGTGAAACTGGGTAACCCAAGGCATTCTTTTAAAGCATGTTTATTAACTACCTGCTATAAGTCAGGCACTGTGGTAGGAATTTTGGGTAGAGTGGTGAATAAAACATTCTAAGTTATTTCTGTTGTAAGTGCCACAAAGAGAAATCCTATTGTCAGGAGAGCATATAACAGGATGCTGGTCCTAATCTGAGAGATGAGAGACTTCCCTCAGGGAGTAATATTAATTACATCTGCCTTCCTCCAACCACTGTTGCTCCTTATATATCCTAAGGGCAGTGGGAAACAATTTTAAGCAGGGTATGGACTTGATCAGATTTGCTTAAAAATTACTTTACTATTGCATGGAGAATGGAGGGGATATTAGAGTGAACACAGGCAACCATTTTAGGCTACTATAGAAACCTAAGCAGGAGAGTATGGTGATGTCTTGGACTGAGGTGTTGGCACTGGAGATGCAAGAGGAGGTAAAATTGGTAGGTGTTGGTTATGAGTTAGATATGAGAGGAGAGGAAGGGTCAAGGATGACCTCCATTCCAGGTTCTTGACTGTATAACTGAATTGATGGCAGATACATTTTCCTAGTACATTTGAAAAATAATATGTGTATTTTCAAGTTTGGTATACAGAATTGCCCCTGCTTATGAAAATTCACAAATGTGTTGGACTTTTCCAGTCATCTTTTGGTCAAGATGGAAAAGCACAATACTTTTCAGCCTGTACCGTTTTACCTACTAATATTAATAAATAATATATATCTTTGATTAGGTCTTGCTAATTGTCATAATTGACTAGAGTCCTAGTAGTCTTTTTTAAACAGCTTTATTGAGATATAACTCACACATTGTACAATTCCTCTATTCAAAGTATACAATTCAGTGGCTTTCAGTATATTCACAGAGTTTTATATCTATCACCACTAATTTTAGAACATTTTCATTACCCCCAATAAGCCTTTCACCCCTTAGCTATCACTCCTCAATTCCCCCATGTACCCAAGCTCTAGGCAACTACTAATGTACTTCTGTTTCTATAGATGTGCCTATTTTGGACATTTCATGTAGATTGAATTGTCTTAGTTTGGGCTACTATAACAAATTACCATAGACTGGGTGGCTTAGACAACATTTATTTCTCACAGTTCTGGAAGCGGAGAAGATCTGTGTTCTGGCTGAGGCCCTCCTTCCTGGTTTGTAGATTGCCTTCTTCTCATTGTGTTAATATTATGTCGTCACATGGTGGAAAGAGAGTGAGAGAGCTTTCTGGGGTCCCTTTCATAAGGGCCCTAATCCCATTCATGAGGGATCCACCCTCATGGTCTAATTATCTCCCAAAGGCCCCACCACCTAATACCTTTACATTAGGGATTAGGATTTTGGGGGGCACAAATATGACAAATATGTAGTCCATAACAGGAGTCATACAATATGTCTTTTGTGACTGGTTTCTTTCACTTAGCATAATGTTTTCAAGGTTCATCTATGTTATGGTATATTTCAGTACTTGATTTCTTTCTATTGCTGAGTCATATTCCATTGTATGGATATACCACATTCTATTTATCCATTTCATCAAGTTGATGGACATTTGGATTGTTTTCATTTTTTGGCTATTATGACTAATATTGCTATGGACATTTGTGTATGAGTTTTTGTGTGGGCGTATGTTTCAGTTCTCTTAGGTATATATCTAGAAATGGCGTTGCTGGGTGATATGAAAACCCTATGTTTAACTGTTTAAGGAACTTCCAGACTGTTTTTCAAAGTGGCTGCACCATTTCACATTCCTCCTAACAGTGCACGAGGATTCCAGTTTCTCCATATCCTTGCCAATACTCATTTTTTGTCTTTTACATTATAGTCATCTTTGTGGGTATTAAGTGGTATCTTGTCATTTGATTTGCATTTCCCAAAAGTGATTCTGTTGGACTAAAATGATAATGAGATTGAAGCTGGGCAGTTTACTCACTGATATAGAATTTAAGAAGTCATTTTATTCATTAGAGAGTAGAGATGAATTGGCATATACAAGTAATTATTTTTAGTATTTTGTAAGGCTTTACATTGTCTTTATGATTCTTTTTTTAGCAAATAACAGTTAAAATGTATTTTGTACCTTAAGTTCAACAAAGTTTGAGTTACCTCAAAAATAGTTTCCCCCAAATCCCAAAGTATTTTTGTTGTATTTTTCTTTCCCTTTAAGCTACAATGGTTATCTCTTTGGCCCCTGAACAACATAGTTGAGAATGTTTAAGTGATTATGGACAAATACAATTGGACAATACAACAACCATCTGTCCTAGATGATGTATTTACCCATGGGTGCTACCTTCACAAAGCCTCCATCCTTGTGAGGAAGACTATACACACACACACACACACACACACACACACACACACACATAAATATTTACATACAAGGAAGATGTGGCAAATGCAGCAGTTGGTGGGTATAAACAGAGTATGTTAGCACTAGAACAGAGAGAAATTAATTCGAGGCCTTAAAAGGGAATACTTTGAAGACTAGGTAGAGTTTTGGCAGGTAGAAAAATAACAGAAAAGAATTCTAGAAGGAACTATGTGAACAAAGGCATAGTAGCAAGAAATTACAAAGTGTTTGGAACAAAAAGTAGTCTGTATGGCTGTAGTATATTGTGATTGGGACCAGAAGGCTAGTGGGGAATCCAGCTGAAGGATTGGATGCATATGACATGTAATGGAGTATGGATTTTGTCCTACGATCAGTGGGATACCGTAGAAAGTTTCCACTATCGTATATTTCACTTTAAAAATCCATGCTTTTCAAACATAAGATTTATAGTGATGTTAGAGAACAAATTAGACAGATTGGAGGTAGATAATAGCCAGAGTGAGAGTTGAATTATCAACTAAAATGGACGTAAAGATAGGGGTTCATTATTTCACATAACAAGAAGTCTGGAAGTTATAGAGTTGGTTAAAAAGTATCTCAGCTATATCAGTGCTCTGGAGTGGCATTTCTGCATTTCTCTTGGCTTAATACTTAGGGTCACAAGATGGCTGCCTCACTCAGTTGCAAAGAGGAAGAAAAAGGGTGTGTTCCCTTATTTTTATTTTTATTTATTTATTTTTTTGTTGTTGTTAGGAAAGAAAACTTTCACCAGACACTCCCTAGCTTCACTGACCAGGATCGGATCTAATGACCATGTTTTAGCTGCAAGGGAGGCAGGGAAAGCAGAGGATCTGACCTTTTCTACCTTTACAGTGGGAGTTGAGTTCTGCTTGTGAAAAGAATGGGTAGGGGTTACAGGTGGGAAGCAACCAACAATGTCAACAGATAAGAATATCCTCTAGTTGTCAAAAAGCAAAGGAAGAAGGAAGAGATAGATTTAAGAAAGAGATTAGAAGGGAGGGAGGTACTGAAAATGAGTACCGGTTTTGGTGGTGAATGAAAAAATGGTGATGCCATTTACCAAAATGAATTTCCCAATCTAAAATTGAATTGAAGTCAATTAATATCACTTACTTGAATCTAAAGCTCAATGTTTGGAACCTTATAATTCCACCGTCTAATCACTAAACCTAATGGAACATAGGGGAGGCAGTTGGAAGTAGTACAGTGGTTTTTAAATGCTACTCTAAGGACCAGTGCCAACTTGCTGTGTAAGAATCACCTGGGAGCTTGTTAAATAAATCAGAATCTCTGGGAATTGGTATTTTTAGGTCTAGAATTTGACCATCAATTTTGTTAACAAGCTCCCTAGGTGATTCTGATACACAGCTAGGTTTGGGTACTTGTGGTAGAAAAAGTGTGGGCTTTGGATTCAGGCAAACTTGAATTTGATCCCAACTCTTCACTTACTAACCTGTGAGCTTGGCAAGGTACTTGACCTCTCAGAGCTCAGGTTCCTCATCTATGTAATAATAATAATAATAATGGCTACTTTACAGAGCTTTTGTGAAATATAAAGATATTATATATGTAATGCCACTAGCATAATGTTTGACACGTAGTAAGGATTTATTAACTCTGGCTGATATTATGTATGTTATATTAAGTACTGTGTATTTGATTTAGCACAGAAACACAGATTTCTGAACAACAACAAAATAAGCAGAATATAATAAATTGCTTCTCTTGTTGCTTAGTATCCATTATTTTCTAGGCTTGAGCAAGTAAGTCTTTATTTTCTTAACTGCATTTTTGACTATGTCTGTTTTCTGTAATCTATATAAGTATATAACTCAAAAATTGGCTAATGTACCAAAACCTCTAAATCCAATTTCTGTGAAACATATTCCTTAATATTTACTAGGGGCTATTTTTCACAGCAACCTCATATAAAACCTTAAACTAGACATGTTTCCTGCTCTTAAACACACAAAAACATACAACAGCAGTTCATATAAAAATAATAAATGCACATTAAGGATCATTTTGTTATTCTTATGTTAAAGCTTATGTTATGTAGTTGCCTGGGTTAATAATTAGAATGTTATTTTGTGTAATAAATAACTACTCACTGAGAACGAATGCTTATTTTTCCTGCTTTAGTGCATAAAGAGGTCTTGGTGGAAGGGAGAAAGACACTAACATTGAGTACTTACTTTCTGGTAGAAATTTGACTTAATTTGTCTTGCTAGAGAGAGGCAGTGTGTTGTAGCAGTTTCCTACAGACTCTGAAGCCATATTGCCTGGGTTCTTATCCCATTTCCTGCACTTTGCTGCCTGACCTTGGGCAAATTACTAAGCTTTGTGTGCCTTGGTTTCTTCACTGAGAGTTTTTGTATATCTATTAATGTGTTTAGGAAGTGCCTGGCATGTAATACTATATAATTGTTAGCTATTTTTTAAGTTTTACAAGTTCACGCTACTCTATAATTGTCACAAAAATCCTATAAAATAGATCTTTTTTTTTGGTCTGAAAATGTCTTTATTTATTTATTTTTGGTAGATATCTTCTTAATCTTACAGGTGAGAAAACTGAGGTTTGGTGAGGTTAGTAACTTATCCATAATCACCCATATATTAAGTGATACTAAACTAGTTTGCTTCTTCCTGCATTCTACTATGCCTTTAATCTGTTAGTTATTTAAAAAAATCCTGATAATATTAATCACCTATATGATTCATATGGTATTAGGTAACATTGATTTTCATTTATAAAAAAATTTTTTTTTACTACTTGGCAATAGAATTAATAGATTAACTGTTTTTGAACTTTGAGTAAGGTGTTAATATTTTTAGAAAGATCTATTATTGACCCTTAATTTAAAATATTGTATCAAGGTATGACTAACAGATACTTAAAAATATATATTGCAACAGCAATTTAATTGAAATTAATTACATAAATATAACTTACTTAGGCTTACGTAATAATATTTTTATAGCATCATTTTGTAGGTAATCATCATCATCATGGCGCCTTGAGAGTTTTTCATAGTTTTTGAACTTTAGTTTTAATTTGATACAGTTCTATAGTTATGTATATATTTGAATATAGTACAATTGTTTATTTCACTCATGATCTAGATGCCATATGTAATTAAGTATATTATCTAAATCCTCAAGTTTCATACATTTTATAGAAACCATAAACAGTTATGCTTGCTAATGGAAAACCACTAATGCATATTAATAGTATTAATTGACTTGAAACCTGTGCGTCTACTTCTAGGGTGTCTTATATAAGAATAATTCAGTGTACTGAATAAGGAACTTAAAATCAAATACTAGAATCAAAGATAAGGTAGTTTTATAAAAAATTAAATGTATAATAGAGGGAAGAAAGTGTGTTAAACTAAATCCTAAAGCCAGTCTTCTACTAGGAATTTTTACTTACCTCTCTTCCTCCTCTGCCACAAGCACGCAGACACACACATCACATTTACCCAACACAGTAACATAAAATACTGTGTTAAAATAATCTTCAGATGGGTGAAAAGCTCCAAACTGTTTTTTCCCCCTATATTTTCTGTATGGTTTTAGATAGGTAGCATTATGTACAACATGCATGGAGATTACCAATTAGAAGCAGTAGAATTTTTATTTTAAATAGCTCTAAAGAAGCTATTGGCTGGATATGTCTTCCTTGGTATTCTTTGGCCTACCTTTTATAAATTACTTTTGGTAAAGTGCAACTTGCTGCCAGTAATTCCTTCTCTTGCATTGTTCAAGGAAGTTGCTGAATTTGCTTATGAGTTAGGCAAGAGTTACTCTAATTTTACATTTAGTATATTCTTCCTTAGTTTCCTTTCATTTATGACATATAGGTGGCAAGACTGTTGCACATCCTTTGAATTTCATTATCTGCTTCTGTCTAATAAGAATTTATCTAGATCTTTCTCATAAAACAATCTCTTTTTTAAACAAATTATTTACCTGCATTGTGGAATGTTGAACAACAAAATAAAAAAAAAAATTATTTCCCCCCCTTTCTCCCTAATTTGGCTTTCACCAATGCGTTTTTCCTCTTTCAGTTTTTTTTTTCTTAGTAAATTATTTACCCCCATCCCATCTCCTTGAGGAATAAGAAGGACCCTTAATCCTCAGCAGGGCAATGTTGGAAGGATCACTGAGAGGAAGAAAGAAGAGCATATGAAACTATGGGTTTCAAAATCAGCTTGTTGGCTGCTCTGATTTTGAGTCTGGAGGATGGATCAAGTGCTCTGTTTGTGTCTGATTCTAGTGATTGCTTTTCTTTAGAAGAGCTGCTATCAGAATTATAAATGCTCTACCCTGCATTGCAGTTTAGTTAAGGACATTCATAAGGAGTTGATGTTGGTTTTAGCATCTTTGCTATAGTATTTTATCTGTTTTGGGAAAGGTTCTTGTTTAGTTAGGTTTCTAGGTCCCCAGGCTTAGATTCTGGCAACAAAATGACTAGTCGATGTCACAAATAACTATTATTTTTAGAGCTTAGTGTATATAAGCATCTTTTTCTGTATTTTATAAGCACTACCATGGTGGTAGAAGGCTTTATAATTTTCTCTGTATTTGAAGACTTTACTTACTAAGGGTATTAATACCTTTTCAAAAATTATACAAGTCAAGGACTTCATGTTTTTCTTTTCTTTTTTTTTTTTTTTTTTGAGACAGAGTCTCACTGTGTTGTCTGGGCTAGAGTGCCGTGGCGTCATCCTAGCTCACAGCAACCTCAAACTCCTGGGCTCAAGCAATCCTACTGCCTCAGCCTCCCGAGTAGCTGGGACTACAGGCATGTGCCACCATGCCCAGCTAATTTAAGTTTTTCTATATATTTTTAGTTGTCCAATTAATTTCTTTCTAATTTTAGTAGAGACGGGGTCTCGCTCCTGCTCGAGCTGGTCTTGAACTCTTGAGCTCAAACAATCCGCCCACCTTGGCCTCCCAGAGAGCTAGGATTACAGGCGTGAGCCACCGCGCCCGGCCTGTTTTTCTTTTCTTAATCTTACTTTTCCCTGTTATTTACTAAATGAAAATGTGGGACTTAAGGCAATTGCTTCTTGTTAAAGGTGATGTTGCTTATCCTGCTCTGGGTAGAAAAACAAATTCAAACTCCTATGCAGCCTTTTTATATATGAAACCTTGTTGTACCTAATCTTGGTGTCTTTAATGCCAGAATATTTTAAGCTATATATTACATATATTATTTAAGCTATATATTATTATTATTATCATTATATAGTATTATTTAACTTTGAGTCTAGGTATTAGGAGAGGGAATTTCTTGAAATCATAGAATGTTAATTAAAGCTTAAAAGGGACCTTAGGGATCATATAGTAACCAATTCTGATATTCTACAGAGGAACAAATGGAGGTCTCCTCATACATTCATCATTCATCCATTCATTCAACAAATATTTATTTAATTCTCACTGTTCTAAGTGCTTGGACATATCCCTGCCCTCATGGAGCTTACAGTAAATAGATAATAAACATCATAATTAAGTGAATTAAATGATGTGTTAGAAGGTGATAAAAGTAGACTGGGATAAGGGGGAGGAGAAGTACTTGAGGGTGAGTGTGGGTTTGCAGTTTAAAATAAGGTAGGCCTCATCAAAAAAGATGATATTCGAGCAGAGGTGAGAAGGAGATGAGAGTAGACTATGTGACTATCTGAGGGAAGAATATGTCAGGGAGAAGGAACAGCCAGGGATGGGAGCATGCCCTGCTTACTATTCTAGGAGTATTAAGAAGGCCAGTGTACCTTGTGGAGGAAGAAGTGGAGTGGAGTAATAGCTGATGAAAATTAATAGGGTTGGGAGGCAGGAAGTAGGTGGGGGACTGGCTAGATTATGTGAGGAGAGTGGTTATGAGGACTTTGGCTTTTACATGAATGAAATGGGGGAGTGGTGTCCATGAAGGGTTTTGAGCACAGGAATAACATGATCTGACTTATGTTTCAACTGAATCATTTGTCGCTGCTCTGTTGAGAAGAAATGCTAGGGTAGAGTTGCAGATTTAGCAAATAAAAATAGAGTACTAATTTATATTTGAATTTCAGGTAAACAATAAGTAATTACTTATGTATGTCTCATGCAATATTTATTGACTGTTCACCCACATGGCAGAATGTTCACCACCTTTTTGTTTATTATTTAAAAAAAGAACCTCTTCAGTGTTACCTACTGTTGATTACTGGAGATTATTGTTTTGATCCTGCTTGTCCCAGGGCTTAGGCACTTACAGAAAATTTTCATCTCTTTCCTATATTATCTGTATTTCTGATTTTCACATTATGATCACCCTAGAGTGCTACCTGTTTGTTGGACTACAGCCCAGACCTAATGAAGCAAAATTTCTGGGATAGAATAGGGAATCTTCACAACCACCTACCCTTCCAGGTTCTGGGGATACATTAGTGAACAAAGCATACAAAAATCCTTTTCCACATGGGATTTACATTCTAGTGGAGACAC